AGACTCCAAGGCTACATTTCTTCACCCACTTACCAGATACTAATCAAAATAGAATTTCCTTCTGTTACTATAAAGTATTTTCAACTAATTAAAAATGGCATCCATTTTTAAGCAATAGACCAGAGACCTATAGTAGTACTCAGATTTGCTTGAAAAACTTCTCTCTAAGGAACTAGTCCCTGGTGCCCAAAATGTTGGGGGCCGCTGATTTATTCTAAAGGTAGGATTATAGCTCTCAAACCTTACTGATAGCCATACCACCGAGATGACAGAAGTTGAAGTCCACAAACATCTGGTTATCACCAGGTTATCATTTATTCCTTTATCAAGTTATTAATCTATAAATAGATTCTATCCTCTTATAAAACTAGATAGACAGTATTCACAAACCTTTGGGGGGTTTGGTGAAAAGTTTTGTGAAACTACATAGTTCCTCTGGAATCATCCTCTGGGAAATCTAAAGTATTAATGAAACATGTCTTACCTATTTGAAAATAAAGCTGAACAAGTTTTTTTAAAAAACATATTTGCTCACCTTCTCTAAAATTTTCAAAAGAGCAAAATCTATTAATATGGATGAATAGGACAGAAGTAACAAAATATGCCAACATTAACAGTGTTGGCAATATGCTTTTAAGTCTTAGACTTAAACCTTTAAGCTTAGGGGACTGATTGTTTGATTGTTTGATTGACTGATTGGTTGGATTTATTAAGGGTATCACATTCCTAAAAGACTTGGGGAGGCTTGCAGTATGTCCAATATATATGTTGAAATATCTAAAACCCACATGACTGCCTAGACCAGTGATAGCTAACCTTTTTAGCACCGAATGCCCAAAGCACATGTGTGCGTGCATCCCCAAAATGCAATGTGCATGTGTCTCCCGTGCATGTGTCCCCATCCCATGCATGTATGCATCCCCATGCAGGCACCCCCTGCTTGCATGTGTGCCCATCTCCTATGCATATGGCTCATCCAGTACGCATGCACCTTGCCCCCCCCCCCCCCCCCGCATGCACGGCAGAGACCCGAAGACCAAAGTAATATTGTGCTGATATGACAGAAACTCTACCTTTTTGTAAATGTGTTGCGACTACTTCTCTGTATAAAACAATGTAATATTGCTTTCATCACTTTCACAACAGCAGTGGATTCTGAGAATGCCTAGGCATCTCTCTGTAGATTGGGGTTATCATTGGCCATAAATAGTGACCTTGGAATGTATAGAAGTTTGAGATCCATTAAGTTAAACAAACCCTTTTTACAGCTCCTCCACCAACATGTTTCAGTTTACGAACTTCTCTTTTTATAGTCTTGCAGGACAACCATGGTGAGCAGTTCTTCATAGTTCCTAATTTGAAGTAGCCAGAAATTTTGCTCAATGTTGGATTTTCCATAGGAAAAATATACATTTCCGAGGTATAGGTAGAGAAACAAGATCACAAGCAGCAGTTAGAAACAAAAGCAAGGCTAAAAGGACCAGCTTTTGCTTAATATAACTTTTTAAATCACAAGCCTTTTTTGTTCATGTTGTAACTATCATTATTTTATTTTTTGTGCATAGTGTTGAGGTAATTCCCTGTTAGGAGAATGAGCACATACAGGGAGACGTATTTGAGAGAAGTGTTTGAATAATACACACACAGCACACAGATACACTGTACAGTAAATGTAGGTTTTTACTTCCAGAAAGGTTTAAGCAAAGTCCAAAACAAGCAGTCCAAAGTCATTCACAAGTAAATCAGTCAGTTTTCAATCCAGGGATAATCCAATATCAAAGTCCAGTGTCAAAAACAGTTCAGTATCAGACTTACATCAAATCCAAGAATATCAGTCAATTAGGAAGAATGGAGGAACGGCAATACTCTCCAACAGAAGGAAACAGAGACTCACTGAGACTTCTTCTGAGACTAAGACTAAACAACCCAGGTTTCTGGCTCCATCTTATGGCCTTTGAGAAACCACACCCAATTACACCTCCAGGACTCTCTTAAAGATACAGTATTAAAATGTCTATCCTGGTATATATTTCCAACCCAAATACCTGTTAGGTGACTTATATTCCTAACACATAGCAATTCTGTGGTCTCAAAAATATGAAATATACATATAAAATGAGAATGTTAAGGTGATATATTTACTTTCATAAATCATGATATACTGAAATAATTCTGCATACATGGGAAAAATGCATTGATCCAATTTACTCAAATGCTAGATCCACATATCTATTTTCATCTGTTACCGACTGGTATGAGATTCAATTAACACTTTAATTTCAAAAACTCAAATAATTTCAAATTATGTTTGCTTTGCTGAAGCAAAATATCCCATAGCCTTCTGGAGAACATGATGGAATGTATAAGGGAATAAACGTACACACTTATAGACCTAGGAAAGGAAAGCAGAAGATTCTTCATGACTTGGTTCTGCTCTTCAATTACACAAGAACTTTACTATATTCCTTTGTGAATATCTTATAGGTATCCTGATGAACAATAAAGATTGTTTGACTATCAAATTCTATTGATCTCTGCCAGAAATCATTAATGAATGTTTTCATCATCGGGATTGCCCAAATTCCAGTATTTTAAGTCCTAATAATTTCAATAGGAAATATTTATTATCAATAGCACTGTATATAGCTATTGACAAATAAGTCTAGCTGAATTAACTAAGGCTTTGAAATAAAGTTTAAAATGTTATAAACTTAAGTGTGTAATGGAAACAAAAGAAACATAAATTCATGGAAGCCAAATTCTTGTCTTTTTTAAAAAAATCTGATTATTTCTCAGGGAGTTTTGAATGTTTTCACAACTTCTGTTTACAGGAAATCCATCTTCTTAGAGATAGTTTAATATAGAGAATGTAATGGAATATATTTCTACCAATATGCCTAAATTAATGTATAGATCTTAAAAGAAACAGATAAGATTTGGAAAAACAACTGAGTAAAAAAAAAAAAATCTTTCTGAGCTAATCTGGTCAGCCTCTGATTTATTGTTTATCTGAGCTCCCAGGTGAAGTTTGGATTGCTCTGGGATAGTGCAATGAAGGGGCTTGTGTTCTGAAAGGGTGTTGGGAAGTTCTTACTGTGGCTTAATGGCTTTCTTCCTGTTTTGGATCTTGAGTGAGGGGGCTGCTTTTAATCCTACCATTCTGCCTTTGTTCAGACTTTGCTGCAGGGAGTTTCAAAATATCCTGTCTTGAATGGATTACCAAATCTGCATTTCTAAAAGCTGCCTCCTCAGTTTCTGCTTGGGGGGCAGAGAGACTAAGTCTGCTTTCTGCCTCTAAAAACATGTTTCTCCATTTCTCCCATAGAGGAAATATGCTTTTAAAAAAACATTTCCCCAAATATTCCATTATTCAAATGATGCAAACCAGTGTAGAAAGTCAGCACTGGTTTGCATCATTTCAGAAATTCTAAGCAGAATGAAATAAATATTATTCCATAGATTTATCCTATTGTACCAGGCTTACCTGTTTCCTATTTTACAGCTTACATACTATTATCACTATCAGCATAATACAATCCCAGGGTCCTCTGCTTTGAGACATGAGTTGTTTGTCATTTGCACATAGAGATAAAACAGGATAGAGCAACACATTCCCTTGCTTTAATCTCTCAGATTCTGATTGAAATATAAAGCCTTTATGTGCTGAAGCTGACAGAAGAAACATATCTTTCAATTTACTTCTTAACAAGAAAATATAGAAAACTAACAATATAGCTGGTTGACTTTTCCTACTATAACCCTAACCCTAACTTGTGTATGAATGCAACTTTGATAAATTTGAGACTTTTAAATATTTCTAGATAGATATTTGAATGGCTATATACATTGTATTACCATAGCTTCTTAGAGCATACAAATAAGAGTCCTTTACTCACTACATCATGGGATGCTCTTGGGCAAATGTTGAGTAGTGCCTGGTTTTCTCCAGACATAACATTTAGAATTGAGGCCAAACAGTTCAGTCTTGGTTTCATAAGACAAAACAATTTTGTTCCTCACAATCTGAAAGTTTTTCAAGTGCTTTTTTGGGGGCATTCATGTGTTTGAAACTGAGGAGAACCTTCCATCCAGCAACTCTACCATAAAGCCCAGATTGGTGGAAGGCTGCAGTAGTGGTTGTTCTTCTGGAACTCTGTCCCATCTACACACAGGATCTCTAGAGCTCAGCCAGAGTAACAATTGGGTTTTTGATCATCTCTCTTAATAAGTCCCTTCTTACCTGATTGCTTAGTTTGACCGGGTGACCAGCTCTTAGAAGAGTCCTGATTGTGCCAAGCTACTTCCATTTGAGAATTATGGAGACTATTATGCTCTTAGGAAACTTCAGTGCAGCAGAAATTTTATTGTCGCCTTCCCCAGATCTGTGCCTTGCAATAATCCTATTGTTGAGGTTTGTAGGCAGTTCCTTTGACTTCATGGCTTTTGCTTTCCTACCAATGGTGGGATTCAAAATGTTTTACTACTGGTTCTGTGGGTGTGGCTTGGTGGGCGTGGTGTGGCTTGGTAGGCATGGCAGGGAAAGGATATTGTAAAATCTCCATTACCTCCTCACCCCACTAACCTGCTTTCCAGTTCCATTCTCCTGTGCAGGGCAACAAAAGGAGATCCATCAGATCAGGTGGGACTCAGGAGGCAGAGAAAAGATGGGGGAAGGGCCAGTCAGAGGTGGTATTTGCTGGTTCTCCAAACTACTCAAAATTTTCACTACCAGTTCTCCAGAATACCACCTCTGTTTCCTACAATATGCACTATCAGCTGTGAGGCCTTCTATAGGGAGGTATATGCCTTTCCAAATCATGTCCAATCAATTTAATTTACCACAGGTTGACTTTGGAATCAAGGTGTAGAAACATGTCAGCAACATCAAGAGAAATGGGAGGCACCAGTGCTAAATTTCAAGTGTTGCAAAGGGTCTGAATACTTAGGCCAATATGATAGTTCAGTTTTTTTCTTTTTAATAAATTTACTGACATTTCTAAAATTCTGTTTTCACTTTGTCATTATGAGGTACTGAGTGTAGATTAATGAAAACAAAATGAATTTCAACAACTGCAGGATCAGGCTACAGTATAACAAAATCGATAAAAGTGAAGGAGGTCTGTATACTTTCTGAATGTACTGTATATTCCTTAGATCTTTGCTCCCTTTAACCTTCTACCAGTCCCCATAACACCTAATATGTTGTGAAGTTTTATTTTCACTCCATTTTGATACTAAGACATGCCTCTGTCTATATCTTCCTGGGTATGTACAAAAGGAAGCAAAAAAAATGTCATGAAAAATATTATTCCCAAATGCTTTTATGACAGTTGCATGAAACAATTCATAACTTCTCCTAAACCTTTGCTCTTTAGGGAGACTTCTTTAGAGAGATTTCTTTTATATATTAACTTCTTTAGCTGATTTCATTATTAAAGTTTTACTGCTGCTACCAGGTTCATTCATTATTACAAAAAACCCTGAATATCCATTTTGTGATAGGAAGAGTTCTTCAAAAGAATGCCAATCTTATGTCTTAAGTCACGCAAGAATTCCAACATTTGTGTGTATGTGTGTGCATGTTCATTCATATACCTCTTGCACATGCTTGCTAATAAAATGAGTTGAAATAACTATATTATGCAATTGTTTTCCTATTTGCCAAAACAGTACAGATGTACTGTGTACATTTTGCCTATTAAGATCAAGACATTTAATAATTTGGTCATAATTTCATGTACACAAAACTCTTAATCTAAAATATGGAATGGAAAGCACTATGGTTCACACTGAGTTAGGAGCAAGAACCGTGCTGTAGGAACTCTAAATTTAAGCATTGTATAATTGTATAATTCCAGTAAAAGTATATTCATCCATTGTTACCTATAGCTGTAATGAAAATGTCTAACTCATTTTGTCTCTGTGCAAAATCCTCTCCCACATGGATTTTCACCATTCATCTTCTGCTTCCCCTTCTTTCTTGACTGCCCTTTTTAGTTTATTTAAACCTCTAAATTGATTTGTAGTCAATTAAACTTGACTACAAATCCTTAAAACCTTCTCTCTGTTTTTGTTCCCCCAAATTTCATATCACTGATCTTTTTGAAAAAAAAACGATAGCCTGATAGTATTTGTTCTTCTCATTCTAAGTAATGGAGTGTAATATTTGCTGATTCGTGGTGTAAAATTGGAAAGAAATCATGATGATCTATTCCCCCAGACTGAGGAAAGAAAAATCAGATTCCTTCTGATAATTTTGCCTCAAGATTGAGAGGAGGCATTCTCCTGAGCTAAGGATCAGTTTCTAATCTTTGCATGCCCTTAATCCATGCAATCCTCATTATTTCAAGTCATACCAAGGAAGGAAGGATCACTAAGAACCGTATGAAAAGCTAATAATAAAATTTTGACAGCTAAAACCCAGTCTATAGGAAGTTTTCAACTAATTTATGGAGGGAACAGTGTACCTTAACTTTCTGTATGCAATTTTTTCTTCATCACATTATTTCAACAATCCTACTTTCAAAAGAAATATAGAAAACAGAACAAAATGACATTTTTGTATGTATGTACCAACCCTAAATGAATTGTGTTAAAGATACACATTACTGCAACAGTTTTATTAATAATTGTGAAGATGCATTGTGTGAACATATCTAAATCAATATGATAAAATATATGACATTTTTCCAACTACATTTGTCCTTTGGAAGCCAACATTCAGGATAAAATATTTTCCCCCTTCACATATCAGTCTTTCTCTTAGCAGAAGAAATGCTGATGGTGCAGTAGCTGCAGGAATATGGGGGTACATATTCAAATCAGCAAAGGAGCTTATTATTGCTTCTTCTGAAAGAGGCCAACTGAAGCCTCATTGGTGGGCTCAGGCATGATCTGGATCTTTTGGTTCTTCAGAGCTGCCTCTCTCATCTTGTAATACATAAATTCATTTTGTTGAAACATGCGTAGCTCCATCTCAGATTGAATACGCATGGCCTACATGAATGCAAAGAAACTGCAAGTCACAGAAAATTCATTTTTTTATATACCATTCTAACTGTAGTCTGTGGAAGAAATCCTTACTTTCAAAGTTAAATCTATCACAGGCAACTATTCTTATCACAATACTCTATGCAATTTGATAAACAATTCACCACATTCTTCTATCATTATTAATTATGTCTTTATATTACTTCAACAACTATTAGTCATGGAGAACAGCAGGAAATTTGCTAATTCTTATGTAGACAAATTGCTAGATAGATCCAATTCCAGAAAATTCGACAGTAAGCATCACAAATAAAAATTTATTAATCTCTGAATCCAAAAGATGCTTCATCACACTTGAAAATCACTTACTTCCAAATCTTTGGTAATTGGATGAGTGGGTCCATGTGTCACCAAAAGAATAGCATAAGCTTTGCAAAGCATCCCATGGCCTGCTTCAATAAGCCCAGCATGCCAGTGGGTGACTCCACTTCTCATGAGTGCCATCCCAAGTTGGGCATTTTTGGGATGGTAAAGCTTTCTGAGGGCAAAAGAGAAGAAGCATGTTGTATAAGTTTTTTTTAAAAAAGAACTTTTATTTAAAAACTTATCATGGAATAAAATAAAGGAAGGAAGGAAGGAAAAAGAAAGGAAGGAAGGGAGAAAGAAAGGAAGGAAAGAAAGAAAAAAGAAAGAAAGTTAAGAAATACAATAATTTCCATCCTTCTTTTCAATCAGGAGTTGCATTTATAATGCCTCTTAGATAATATTCAATATTCCTTCAGTCCTTCAGCTAATCTTCTATATGTGCAAGTTTTAAATGTGGCTGCATTTCCAAGAAACAGGTCAAAGAGTGAGGAAGGGGTAAAAAAGGGAGACTTCCATAGTTCTTTGCCGAGTGCAGCTTACTGTTTTAAAAATGATATTGTGGATAGATAGTAATCTACTGAACACACATATGCAAAGAGGAAAACAGCAAACTACTAACCCATTTGCAACCACCCAGAAGTGGAATCCAAGATTTGTACCACAATTACAAATTTATCTGGGACTAAGGAAGAATTCTATTTTGGTTACATATATACAGAGGGAGAATAAACACTCTACATTTTACTTATTTTAAATATTTTTATGATCTTTCCACTTGAAAGCAGAATTGATAGATTTAGCCCTTATATTGTTACAACACTAACTTGGTTATATTAATTTCTAAGAATCATAAATGCTTTCCCTCATTATTGCTTCAATACCTCATATGGGTATTTTTGTGATTACGTAAAAGAGGGTTACCAAGTCTGTTTATTTTTCTCATTTCTATAAATAGGTTACTGAAGAAGAGAGAAGAAAGAGACTCTGGTCACATACAGGTAACCATCCACCATCTGTTTCGAATAGCCAGAAGCCTCATCGAAGAGCTGGAGGTAAGAGAGAACTTCAGACAAGATGCTAAGAATTCGCAGCAGATAAATATTGGTTTCTCCCAGCACTGGTTCCTGCCTTGTTAGACACTCTCGGCACAATTTCACCACCTGTCACAACCACAAGAACAAAATAATCAAAAAAGAGGGACTGGATAGAATAAAGAGGATTAGCTTCAGGGGTGGGATTCTACCAGTTCGCACCTATTCGCTAGAACCGGTTGTTAACATCCTAAGCAGTTCGGAGAACCGGTTGTTAGAAGAAATTATTGGTCTAATCCTGTAAGGAAGGCAGGAAGAAAACATTATGGTGTTGCTTACAGAAACTGCGTCTCCGTTAACCCTTATTACATTCTTGGCAGGACTAGACTTCCTGGCTCAGGAACCTCTCTAGAGTTTTTTTCCCTTCCTTTGCTGGTACTTTGCTTGTGTGGAGTGACCATTCAAAGTTACAATGGCACTGAAAAAAGTGACTTATGTCCATTTTTTACACGTTGTTTACATGTTGCAGCATCCCCACAGTCTTGAGTGGCCAGGCAAGGAGATGCGTGCCTCGATGTGAGTTATATTGAGTTGGCCACATCCAGCCAATAACATGACCACCAAGCCATGTCCACCTAGTCACATGACCACCAAGCCATGCCCACCACCTAAGCCACACCCACAGAACCGGTTGTTAAAAAATTTGAATCCCACCCCTGCCTAGCTCTAATGACTGATCAGTTTTGAGTGTGGATATGAATTGTTCTTGTAACTAGTCCCACCATAATTAAAAAAAAGGAGTTTTATAATTCATCTGGAATAAATGCAGAGAAATAGTTCTATGTTGGTGCAATAATAATGCAATAACATTAGGTACATTTTTATATACAGTATTTTAAGTGTGACTCCAAATTATTGTTGTTAGAAAAGCCATTAAACCTGAGCTCTTTCAGTATGTGGGATGTTCAGGTTGCACTGATATTAAGATTTTATTTTTTTATTTGTGTACGAACAGCTAAGTTAAACTATTAAGATTCTCACTTGTATTGCTTGGAGGTTGATATGGATTTTTCTGGTTTTGTTTTTACTGTTGCTAATCTTACTAATTACCTAACACTAAATAAAACTGAAGCCAATGTCTTCTGCAACTATAAAACTATAAATAGCAGATTTGTCCCAGGAGTTTTATGATATGGCAACATGAGCATCAGAAATGTCTCTTTCTTTATTTCATCTGCCTTCCTTTTACACTTTAAAGCAGTGATCCCCAACCTTTTTTATGCCGCGGCCCGGTATCCCCAACCTTTTTTATGGCGTGGCCCGGTACCAGCATTAGCTGGGTGCCGCCATCTTTTTTTGATGAAAACGTGCTTCCGGTGAGCTTTCTACCCGGAAAAGCTCACCGGAAGCGCTGGCGCCATCTTTTTTTGATGAAAACATGCTTCCGGTGAGCTTTCTACCCGGAAAAGCTCACCGGAAGCGCTGGCGCCGCCATCTTTTTTTGATGAAAACGTGCTTCCGGTGAGCTTTCTACCCGGAAAAGCTCACCGGAAGCACTTTTTCATCAAAAAAAGATGGTGGCGCCCAGCAAGCCAGCGGCCCGGTAGGACTTGTTCCACGGACCGGTACCGGTCCGCGGACCGGTGGTTGGGGACCCCTGCTTTAAAGGACCAGGTAGTTCATCAACTGTCTTTACAGGCGATGCATCCTGGACCTTTCTGGAGGCATGGACTCCATTCCTTGGATTCTTCCAATTGTGCATTATATGGGAGGGACTGGAAAGAAGCTTTAATAGTCAAGTTCCTTCATGTCACCGGTGAGTTATTTTATGCACATGAACACTTAACTAAATATTCCCTATAATTATTAAATTAAATTAAACTGAATTAGATCTTGAAGAAACGTTATCTCAGTATTTTGTTGGTTTCTGTGGGCTTGAAAGAGTAACATTCTGTAAGCAGAAACTCACCAATCTTCATCTTTGCAGTCAATATTTGAGTAGGTAGAAAACTAGATTATATAGGAAAGATAATCCCAGGGGTGGGATTCTACCAGTTCGGACCGGTTCTATAGAACCAGTGATTACGATTCTGCCCAGTTTGGAGAACGAGTAAATCATGCTCCTGGCTGGCCCCGCCCCTCTCTGCCCAACCCTCCCCTCCCCACCCAGTCAGTCCTTATCATGCATGCACAACATCACGCACATCACTGACTGCATTCTCCCCCACCCGCTCCGCCCCGCCCAATCACTCCTTATGGTATTTCTTCTTCTTTTTCTTCCCGATGATCAGCTGTTCTGACATCAGCTGTGCTGGGATCCCCCTTGCTGTCTTAGTGCTTCACCCAGGAGACTTCCAGGAGGCCCAGGAGACAAAAAACGGTGCGGGGGACTCCCTTTTTTGCCTCCTGGGCCTCAGGGAAACCTTCTTGAAGCAAAAATGACTTCCCAGGAGGCTTCCCTGAAGCCCAGGAGGCAAAAAATGGAGCGTGGCAGAGATGATAACTTTTAAATCTGCATTAATGGTATTTATTGTTACATATTACATATATTTTCATTAGTTTTTTTGTACAGATAGCATTTTTTACTGATCTTTGGCTGTAATAATTGAAATACTTGATATAAATGTGCATAAATTTCATAGATTTAAACCAATAATGGGACAGAATAAAATTTAAAAAAACCCTATATGTTTATAGTTTATATTATCTGGAGTTAATCTAATGAACAAAAGTTATGTTTATTTTGTCAAGATTAGCACCATCACTTCAATCAACATTTCCCCAAAAGGCAGCTACACATTTTTAATCTCCCGCAAGTGTAATAGTTGAAAAGACAAAACCAATATAAATGATCTATTTTATACTTTGGTCAAAATCTCTATTGAGACAGCCAGTCTTAGTTGACCCTCTGTACTAATTAATTTAAGAGGATGCCTTTTAGATTGCCTTTCCTGCTGAGATGAAGCAAAATGGGAATTTCATTCATATATTTATGTCTATATGTTTGTCTGTCTGTCTGTCTTTCTATCTGTAATTTGAAGTAATTATGATACAATAATATAAAGAGACAGATATTCATGAGGGATGATCTTGCTAAAATCCAAATGCAAAACAAAAAGCAAAACTACTGGTACAAAAAAAAACATCAGAAAATGATGGTTTATCATAATGGCCTCAATGACATCTTAACTCTAGATTGGTAGGGATGGGGAACAGCAGAATATATAATGCACTTTGCTCAAACATGGGGTGCCATCACACATACAGTCCTCTTGGGAAGGAAGATACATACTGACAGATGTATCTGAAGATAATGTATGGAAAATAATTTATTTTGAACATTAAATGTAAAACTTGTATCAAGTTTCCCTTGGTTGTCAAAAAGTCCCATACTATGAAGCAGGAGCTGGCAAATTTTTGGCAGGGTGAGGATACACTTTTTTTAAAAAAAAATCTTTTTTTTTTTGACAATAAGCAGGACACAATTCCTAGAAGCAACAAGACTGAGCTTTTTGTTCTATTTTAACTACTTTGGAAAGATCATTTTCCTAAGAACTTTTGTTTCCTTATTTTAAAAATGACAGACAATTGCCATTATTTGGCCTTTTTTTTTTTTTTTTTTTGCTGAATTTTGAAATTCACAGAAAAGGGGTTCAGATGGCCCACACTGCTATGGAGTCCTAGGGAGATGGAAGAAAACTTCCCTGTAACACTTAAATTACCGTGAAGGAAATCATTGCAGAAAATCTGGTGTCCAATAACTTACTTCATGGTATATCCCATCAGAACGAGCTATATCAACTTTTTTCATGGTTTCCTTAGAAAACTGAATGACCTCTTTCATCATTTCTTGAGATGCCTGTGAGAAATAAGGGGAAGATATTAGCGTGTGCTTCCTCATTTTTCTTATCAAAGAACATCATAAAACAAATTCAATTTTCTTTTTATTATCAAGATAATAATGTCTTGGAACAATCCTTGCAAGATTCACTTTAGCTCATTTTTTCAACTGAAACAGATTCAAAGAACAATAATGAAGATGAACAGAGATGAACAAGAAATCACAAGAACCTTACTGAAATTTTCTGAATATGGTACAGAACACAGACACAAAACTGTCTTTCATTTTCCCACACAAAACTGTTTTACTGCACGAAATTAAACTCCTAAGAGTATTAAGAAGACTGAAGGAAGATGTTTTGAGTTTTGAGAAAAGACAGAGAGATATTTTGATGGCATGCTTCAAACAAATGAAAGGGTGTCACATAAAGGAAATCTAACATTTATTCTCTTTTCCCAGAGGGTAGAGGAAAATAATAATAATAAGAGTAAGTTACAGGAAGGCAAAACCATTTGAATATTAGAAAAAAAACTTCCAAACATTAAGAGAAATCTGACAGTACCACCAGTTATCTAGAGCAGTGGTCCCCAACCTTTTTTGTACCAGGGACCAGTTTCAAGCACAAACACTTTTTCAAGGACCGGGGGGAGGGGGAGAAGAATCCGAGTTTGGTAGTTTGCTTGCAGACGTTTCATTACCTGATTAGGTAACATCTGATGTTACCTAGTCAGGTAATAAAACGTCTGCCAGCAAACCACCAAGTTCAGGGAGCGCCTCGGCCCTGCCTCCCTCAGCCCCATCCCTCAGGTGTCTCCCTCCCTCCCTCAGGTGTCTCCCTCCCTCCCTCAGGTGTCTGCCTCGTTCCTCTCTCAGTCGCTCTCTCGCTGCTCCACCAGCCCAGGAAGAAAGTGCTTCAAAGAAGCGGGGGGGGGTGGCTTTTCCTGTCGCCGCAGCTCCTCTGAAGCGCCCGTTTACCCCCACCCCGCCCGCCCGCGTGCGGTTCAACCCAGTGCTCCGTTCTGCCTGCCTGCCTGCCTGCCTTCGTTTCGGAGCAGCTTCGACTGATAAAAAGAGGCGAATAGTTATTATTCTCAGCCGAAGCTGCTCCCAAACAACCAGACAGGCAGGCAGGCAGAACAGAGCACTGAATTGAACCGCGCGCGGGCGGGCGGGGTGGGGGTAAACGGGCGCTTTGGAGGCGCTGCGGAGACAGGAAAAGCCACCCCCCAACGGCTTCTTTGAAGCAGTTTCTTCCTGGGCTGGTGGAGGAGCGAGAGAGCGACTGAGAGAGGAACGAGGCGGGAGGAAACCGAAGCTGCTGAGCCAGAGAGCAGGACAGGCTTCGGTTGCTTCCTCCCTCCCCTTCTCTCATTTGTGTCCTTGATCCCCGATCCGAGCAGCATTCACCGAAGGCAAAGAAAGCCGCCATTTTTTTAAAAAAAAATTTCTTTGCGGCCCGGTACAGAGTGCTCCACGGACCGGTACCGGTCCGCGGCCCAGTGGTTGAGGACCCCTGATCTAGAGAGATGGTAGCCTTCTTTTTACTGGGTACATTAAAGTGCAGACTAAACAATAATCTGTCCAAGATATTTTAATCTGGGTTAAATAAAAATTAAATTAAATCCTGGGCAGAGTTGGATTTAGTGGTCAAAATGGTCCTTCTTATACTATGAAAAATCAGGCAGCTGAAATAAAATCAGCATTAGTAGGAACTACACTTATTCCCATCATCTATATGGGCCACAGCTTTCTCCAGGTTTCTGTGATGACCCAATGCCACTAGTTCAGTGTAGCCAGCTGGGGGCAGCCTTTTTGCCACCACCAAATTCTTTCTGCCAATTCACTGCCACCATTTCTTCACAAGACATCTTGTGAAATTTGCTGTGGGTATAACTCACTGCAGGCGCTAGATGGAGAGTAAGCGAATTGTCAGAAGAGAGTAGCAATGGGCAGAGCAAGAGCCGTTATAAGTGGGTGAATGAGCAGGGTGTCAGCGGGTGGCAGTTGTACGTTGGCTCTGCCCTGAATGCAGAACAGGCAGTTCGGCTACAGTGGGGGATGGAGCAGAGGGCGGGCAGGCAGCTGAAGGCATATTTGAACCTAAATCTTTCTATATCCAATTCAGTACTTATCCATCTATATTCCTGGAAATATTCTGAAATCTGTCAAAGTCTTACCTTTTCATTCCCTTCTTTCAAAGCCAACATCAGGTCATCTTTGATTCCTTTCTGGCAATGCTCACAGGTACAGTCAAAATAATACTGTTTTTTCAGTTGCTGCTTTCTGTCTTCACTGACATTGAGAAAGTCTATATAGGAAACAGTCAGCTCTTCTCCTACAGAGATCTTACTCAATACACGTAGCTCTATCCTGGTTTTAAATAAGGCAAGAAGCATTAGATCAATTGCAATAATTATCTGATTCTATAATTTAAGATTCTTAGGAAAGAAACTCTTTAAGGATGTATCTTCCCAAGCAAAGCCACGAATTATTTTGTGGAATTTTCTGTCTTCTGAACTCAATTCTGTACAAGGGTGAACAAAATTCTGTAATATGAACTGGTCAAATTAATGCCTGCATACAATTATGGAAATCAAAACCACTTTATTTTTCTTTTATTTCTTTTATTGAAGAGCATTTTCCCCCCCGGCTCTTGTTAAACATTGGTAGAACAAAGCAGCTTTGTTTTCTGACTAAAGAGAAAATCTCATTCAACAACCTCTATAATTTTACATGCAGTGTCCAGTTTTGAACAAATTATCAAAAATTCAAAAGGCAGATATATAGTGCTCACTATTCTTTAATTAAAGTTAAAAAATTTAAACAATTTAATTTTTAGAAAATTAGAGTCTATAGCATATTCATGTGTTAAAGTATAATTTTGAAAGCACCATTACAAAATTCTGGATAAGTATCTTCTCATTTTATTTTGTTATACCAGTTACATTTTAATTGACATTTTCCTTCTTACTTTCAGCACACTCACTTAATATTCCACTGCTGCCATTGAAAAATCACATATAGTGTAGTCACTGCTTCACACCGCCACAGTTAACTGATAACTTTCAATAAATGAGTCAGCCAGAATGCATGGTAAAGGGGTAGGGCTCTGTTCACTTATTTGTGAGGTTGAGGAAGAGGGTCACTTGTGGATACTTTTCACCTATTATTCTTGCCACTAGTAGACAACTTTTGAGTGGCATCTTCCATGTATTTGAGCAGGGTGGATCTTCTTAGCTTTAGAATTTGAACTTGAGGGATTCAACATAGTCTCTAGACCAGGTGTCGGCAACCATAAACACTAACCAGAAGCCCCACGTTCAATTCTGGAGCCAGCCAGAAGTCCGGTTCCCCCACCATAGAGTCTCCTAGCATGGCATCCTTTTTCCTGTCCTAACTGCCCCTTGTGGAGCTGACCAGAAAACCCGCCCCTTGCCATAGAGTCTCCTCCTGGCATGCCATGCTTCCCACCCCAAAACTGGAAGCTCCTCTCAAAATTATGGCACTGACTGGTGACAGGAAGCCACAGAGGGATGAAAGAGCCACATGCAGCTCCAGAGCTGCAGGTTGTCGACCCCTGCTCTAGACCAATTAAATCACATCTGAAATCATGTACATGGTACATCGGTTAGAAATAGAGTTGTTATAAAAAATAAGCAAAAGCAGACTTACATGCACATGTACAGATGCATTAACCATGCCATTCCTAAACATTCAGTTTTTGAGCACATGAATCTGTTTTTGCCATGCACCCTCATCACTCCTACTTCTGATGGTAGTGTCACTGGAGATCCTTATTAAATTAAATTATGTCTATCCGAATATAAAAAGCAATGTTTCCAGATGTGTAACATAAAGAATTTCTCTCACATTCTCAATCTTTCTCTGTTATTCTTCCTTTAAAAATTGGTATGGTGCATAAACCTCACATACTGGAAGTGATTTGGTTCATTCCAGTTTCATTTTCAACAGTAGCCCAGAAGCATTGAGAAATATATGGTAATTACCTTTAAGTTCCCCTTTATTAGGTCAGAGTAATAAATCTGTTAGTATACTTTAACCACAACTTCCCAGTACAAGTTGTCACTTTTTAAAGAAAGAATACTTCTTTACATGCCACATTAACTACAATTACATTCACGCACATACAGAGACAATCACACTTTCTTACATCAGCTGTGAAGATATTTGGTTTCAAAATATGCAGCTCCTTCCAGCTTGTTTATAATCAGCTGAATCAAGGGATGAATTTCTATCATTTCTATAATTCAATTAATTCCCTTTTTTTAAAACTTAAAATATTTTTGAGTATTCCTGGAAAGTACACAGAATAAATCTCCAAGGATTGTACAAAAATTTGCCAAGAATGCTCAAGATACACTTGAAAGTTTTCAGAGGCCTAGTGGTCTTCTTTTCTCCTGCCAGGCCCTCCTGAAATTACAATCAAAAACTTGTCATAGGGTAGGAAATGGGATGGAAGGGATGGAATGGCCAATCCCTCTCCTCAGTTGGAAGTAGTTGTAATCAACACAACCAAAATTAGAGAAACGAGTCTCAGGCAATGGGTCACCTGCAATTAAGATGAAAGATTGATAGGATTTATTCCCACTAACACAGGTCATGCTGTCATAGCTATGGAAAGGAAAGAAGGAAAAAGAAGATAGTTCCAATGTTAAGAAGGATGGGCAAGTTGATCTGATAAGAACAGGGGTGACAATCACAATTAATATTATAGTACTTATACACTACAAAATGCAGGAAGTATTAAATTAAGGGCTGGGTTTAGTGGAATTTAGCTTAGGGATTATGGAAAATGTGGAATTACACGCAACAGACATTTCCAAAGTTGGGTTATTATTGTCTGTGATTTGTCTATAGTGATGCAGGATGATAGAGAAGTAGTGAGAGAAGGGAGTATATTATGCTTTCAAGACTGACCCACCTCATCTGGGTGTGGAACAATGATCTTACAGCCTCATGACTGGAAAAAAAAAACAGACACCTGCAGTTTTACAAAGGTAGAAACACTGGAAAAGCAATCTGAGCCCAGACATTTAGTAGATTGAATGTTTGGAGGCAGCTACACATTGACATGCATATACCAAGGACAACATTAAAGATGCACCTGAAATTATCAGCTGGAAGCCTAAGACCATACAATTTATAATTTCCCCTCTCAAACAGGCTTTGACTCTAGCACTGGAATATTTGTATTTCATGATGATTGATTGACTGACTGACTAGATTTTCTTACAGTGGAGGAACCAGAGTTGAAGGCGATCAAAAAGCTTAGATTTTCCATCTCCTGGTCCTCTTGGGCTCTCTCCTTCCCATCCAAGAGAAGTTTAATTTATGAATAAGAATTTAATGAAACTAAGCTCCAAGGTTCAGTAGAACTTTCCCTTGGCATAAGTAGGTCTTACTATGCAGATCAGCTTCAGCATTATAGCATTAGTAACAGCAAGCAGAACTTTTTTGGTAGTCTACTCACTATAATTAAAAATATATCAGGGGTGAAATTCATTTTTTTTCCCTACCGGCTCTGTGGGTATAGCTGTGGATATGGCTTGGTATAATAGTAATAGCAACCAGGGGCAATTTTTTATCAACTCAAATCGTCCCTACCACCTCTCCCAAGCTGGGCCAAGGTGGTTTAATTTCACCCCTGGAATATACCACATGTATTACCTTACTGAATTCACTGCAAATATACCACAAAGCATCAGTATAAAAAGTAATGCTAAACACAATAAAATGTTTTGTCTTTAACTATTTCCACTATCTGATTTCAGGTTTTCCTCTAGCATATAATCTATGCTTCATCCAGGCCTTCTGATAGGATACATAACCACTAAATGTTACTAGAAACGATGGATGATAGATATTGGACCAGAATAATTTACTTTACTTTTATGTTTTAATTCATCCTGAAACCTTACAATGGGGTTTATTTTCAGGCAACTGAAATTAAACACTACAAATTTACAAGCAAATTTCATTAATTCTTATTCTCCTCTTGAAAGGATAAGAGTGACAAATAGTAACAGCAGTCTAAAAGGTAGCCTCTACAGCTGAACCAGAGCTTTCCACTCTTTCTGCTCAGCAGCATCCTGTATTGCTGGGAATGATTTCCAACTGGGCTTTCTCTCCTAGTATTAGTCAATCCATCTCAAAATATGTTTTTTTTTTTCTGGTAGTAGCAGAAGACATAACTAGCTAGGTAGGAACCTTCCCGTGCTGCTTTCTTTAAGTCATCTTGTGAATTGATCTATTTCACATAGCCCTGATCAAAAAGAATGACAAAATGCTGGCAAAGCAGCTGCAGCTGCAGTGCAAATGCCCCTCCATCAAAAAATAGCCTTTTCAACAGCATCCTGGCTTTAGTTTTGGACACTTCATGACTTGAATTCCCTCCTTGCCCGAAGTTCCATTCAGGCATTCTCAAAAATAACACCCCATCCAATCAAATATGACAAATACATTAACCCTTTCCCACCTTGGCAGTGAGGTTCTACATGGTCCTTTTCCAATTCAAGGTACATGGCACAGAATTACAGAGGGAGCCAAAGTGAAATTAAAAATACCAGGCTGATATTCTGATATTTTGACTCATGCTGTAGTCTGACCTATCTGCACTGTAGTGGTATTCATTTTTAATCAGCTTTTAGGGACTGCAAAGACATTGAGATCACCCAAGTAGTAGTTCCTGGAAGAGCCTTGGAAGTGAGAAGGTGTTGTGGCAAGTTTTAATAAAGTAAATGTCTTAAGCCTACTAAAGTTTAACATATCTATTTAGTTTCTAATTTCTGAAAAAAAGATATCAGAAGTTGTTCCCTGAATGCTAGTGTTTTGCTACTGAATAATGCTTGTGTGATTTATAGGAATTCCGGAGTTACAAGCAAGGAGCCATAAAAAAAAACATGGGAGCCATAAAAAAACTATGGATTGTGAGCTGCTCACCTCTGAGCAATAGCAACATTAATTTAAGTTTTGGTTCTTATTCAGAATTCACATGCTTCTGATATTCACAATTTGTTTTATGAGATAGTTAGAATATATGTACAGCAACATTCAAGAGGGATCACATTTGGACTTCCAATTCTTATCATCTCATCTACAGGAGCTTTAGAAAATAGCTTGACCCCTTCCTCCCTGTGGCATCCCCTTAAATATTGGAAGACTGCTATCATGTCTCCCCCGGTCGTTCTCTTTACTAGACTAGCCAAGCCCAGTTCCTGCAACCGTTCGTTGTATGTTTTAGCCTCCAGTCCCTTAATCATCCTGGTTGTTCTTCTCTGTACTTTTTCTAGAGTCTCAACATCTTTTTTATAATGTGGTGACCAAAACTGGATGCAGTACTGTAGGTGTGGTCTTACTAAGGCTTTATAGAGTGGTATTAGTAGTTCCCTTGATCTTGATTGTATCCCTCTGTTAATACAATTTAGGATTGCATTAGCTTTTTTGGCGGTGGCTGCACACTGCTGACTCATATTTAGCTGGTTGTCCACTAAGACTCCAAGATCCCTCTCACAGTTACTGCTATTGAGCCTGGTTTCACCCAGACTATATGTGTCCTTTTGGTTTTTCTTGCCTAAAGAAAAGGACTTGTAGGACTTTACTTTTCTCTACATTGATTTTCATTTTGTTAGATATGGCCCAGTGTTCTAGTCTGTCAAGATCCATCTGGATCTTGAGCCTATCTTCTTGGGTGTTAGCTATTCCTGCCAGCTTAGTATCATCTGCAAATTTGGTAAGTTCCCCTTCTATTCCCGCATCCAAGTTGTTAATGAAGATATTGAAGAGTACTGGGCCTAAGACAGAACCTTGTGGCACCCCACTGCATACTTCCCTCTATGTAGACTGTGACCCATTAAGGACTACTTGTTGAGTATGGTTTGTCTGCCAGTTGCAAGTCCATCTCGTGGTGGTGCTATCTATTCCACTTTTTTCTAGCTTACCAAGAAGTAGATCTTTTGAAGTAGATTTCTTACGTTTATTGCGATCAAACATATTATTGATGGAGCATATTTTAAGGGAGAATATAGTTGTCACTATCCTTTCTCTAAGAAGATGACTGGGTCCTTGCCTTTTCATACAGGCCAGAAGGAGCCTTTTCTGACTGATTGAATAACATTGTTGGAAAGTGCAGATTTAAGAAAGATTGATTCTGTCTATAAATATCATTATGACCCTTAATCGCTTCCATCAACAGATTGATTACCATCTTAGTGAATCAGAATTTCACTGACATCACTAAGTCATGCTAGGAATTGATTCAGTGAAAAAAACATAGTAGTTAAACTATTACCTCATTCGACCATTTTCTTAATTTATTTTTCTAGGTCCAAGATTGTTCCATGTTCTTGACAATACACCTTAAATACAATCCACTGAACCATTTAGTGGCACAGTCTTTATTGAATAATTTTCAGCTTGCTAAGAACATTGTAAAAGCATTTCCCATTCGCTGAAATGGGATTTCTATTAGATAATGTTCCAATGGGTTCCCCATTTTTTTAGATGAGTTCAGCAGTGGCCATATTATATATTTTCTGGAAGCGGAAGTCGATGCATTAGAGTTAGGCTATCTTTTATCTGAAAAGCAGATTGTTTTCTGAAATATTTTGTTTTAATCTCTGAACAGAAAAGAATGTTTTAGGGAAGGAATACTTACTTGCCATTGTTAAAGATGACAGTACAATTGGGCCAACAATCATGATTCACCAAGCAAAGATTGGGGAAAATGCCTACACCAACTGCCTGAAGTCCCCTTTGGTCACTCAGGGTGAAACCATTGCAATTGATCTGCTCTCACAAAAACAAAAAAATAAGATGGATCAGGAAAACAAATATTTTTTTAGATCAGGGACAGCCAGTTTCTGTACAGAGGGATCGATTTTTCAGACAGAATTTGGGAACAGAAATATAAATTGATGAACAATTCAACTCATTCCATCTGTTACGATCTATATTAAAATCATCACAAGTTACTAGACAGGTTACATAATATATATAAACCCCCAAATTATGTACAGCGATAATCTCTCCCTCTCTTTTTTCTTAAGTCTCTCACTACATTCCTCGCATACTTTAGAAATGCATTTTCTTAATTTTCCTAATTCTTAAAATCCTGCAATAGACATATACACAAAACAGGATTTGTCATGTGGTTGCAACTTCTATTTTGCCTTTTTTTTTTGGACAAATTAGATATAAGGGGAGAGTGATTATCTTCCAATCTCACAAAATTTTGTGAAGGATTCAAATGTGTTTTATCAAGAGCTGTTTTTTCACCCCTATTGTTTGGAGGTGGGGTGGAACAGCATCATTTGGGCTAAGTAGTTTAAGAACATAGTGAAGGTGCCAACCAGTCAGTGGATTCCTGATGTATAATTCTAAATACCTCAGATATGCCCCATAAGCTTCCAACATTTCATATTTAGACAGTCAGTTAATTACTGTCTTCCTGCTGTAAAGAATACCCACATTGGTGTGTCAAAGGACCAAATGCTCCATTAAATAATCCGGTAGTAAGGAAAAGGGCTGGGAGAAAGAACTAGTCTTTAAAAAATAAACAGCCATAGATTTTCCAGGAAGCAATTAAAAACTGTAATGTAATGGCAACCTAGCATGTATGTTATCATTTTGCCATCATCTTGAATTGTTACAGATTATGCTATAAAGAACAAAAATAACCCAAACCCCACCATTTACCTGAAAGAGTGGAGCTCTTTGTACGAGTTTTATGAAGTGCACCAAACATTCTTCTAAGAAGCAACCTCCTCACAGTATGCTAAGTAATGAATCATAACTTTACTGAATATAATGAACTACATTCATACAATGTGTCCATTATACAGGTAGTCCTCGACTTACAATTATAACTGAGGCTGACAATTACAGCTGAAAGTTGTGATGGTTATAAAGTGGCCATCATATGAGCAGTCGATTTTGACTTTCAATGGTTGTAAATGTGGTTGACAATACAATGGTTATAAATGTGGTTGTTAAGCGAACACCCCAGTTGTTAAGCCAAACCATTGTTTGTTATGGGACTTTTCTTCCAAAAAGACAGAAGTAGTAACGCTGGTTTCAGGAAAAACTTATAATCATCCAAACTGTTGTGGTCACATGACCATGGATATTGCAAACCACTATAAATGTGGACTGGTTGCAGGATAAATTTGCTTTAGTTCTCTCCCACAATTCCTTCCAGATTTCAACAATAGATACATACCACACCCAATATGTGGGAGATGTATTGCATGCCAAACTGTTTGCTCTCAGGTGGCCAGAACTCCAGGAAGCTCTCCAGATCCATCCGCAGCTCCTTCTTTTCCTCCTCCCCAAAATGTTCTACATGGTTTTGCAGGCTGTCAATGGAAACCAGACACCCCTCAGTAAGGCCTCCTCCTTCTCTTTCAATTCTCCACAGGATTCGGGCAGCCAATCTAGTAGGAGAAGAGTAAATAACAGTATATAAGTATGTGAAACCTTTGGTTTTCTCCCCTTTTATTCAAGATTCTGGGAATTTGTCTCGAAAGGCCCTGTAGCTTTCTAGGCAATATTTTTCAGAATTAGTTTGCTATTGCTTCCTTTCTAGGATTGAGAAAAAGTGGCTGGTCTAAGGTCCAAGCTGGCTTTGTGCCTAACACAGAATTAAAGTTCGTGCGCTTCTACTTTCTAGCCTGGTGCCTTCATCTATATACCAGACTGTCTCTCAGAAACTATACAACGAATTGCCAAACTTGGTTATTTTACTTAATACTTTGTGATATGAAATTGTGAAACTCTCAGCGTAGGTAGATTGTAATCAAAATTAAACAGCTCATTCCTTCATATACAAAGTCTCTTAGGGCAGCTAAGAGGATTCTGCCTTATGTCTCAGAATGTTTCATAATGCTTGGTACAGTTTACAAAATCAAGATTCTTCTTTCTAAGATGAGATTCATGTTTAGGTACCCCAAAATAATCTGCAACCTCTTTTTTTCTGCTGCCAGATAAATGTATAGGTTGTTGGCTCTTCTAAAAAGCAAGTTCCATTTGGGATAGGTGCAGATTTTTTAAAAAATAAACTCTTCTCTCTTAAAGAGACATGGGAAAGAATTAAAAGATTAAGAATTATCTAAGAACTTTGAACAATAAACCATTATGTCTAGCTAACTACCCATTAGCTACCAGTATCATTCAGTTCTCTTGCATATGTCTGACCTGGGGTTACCAGGTATGGGCTGCATCTGCCTTCCTGGATAGCAAATATAAAAGGATATCATTAGTTGAAAGGTATGTCTTTGTAATTCTGGAGAGGTGAAAACCTCTGGACACATCCTTCTTCGCTGCTCTTTTTACAGAAACATTTGAACAAAATTTACATTTCTGATCATTTATAGGTATCCTGACCATTCTGGAACCATACATTTTCAGTGGCTGCTCAAAGACAAATGGATGGTAGTCACAGCACAGGTAGCTAGATTCTGCACAGCAGCACTAAAGTTTCATCGGAACCTGATCAATAATCCATTATAGCAATTTTAGATTCAATTAATGCATTGAATCTTTTGGTGTGATTATTTGGTTGCATTTTAGTAACTAAGGACTATAGGCCTTCACAATTTAAGGATTAATATTATATTATACCTTAGATCATGTTCTTGTTTACATGCAACTGACAGATAAGATGCCAAATTATGATTTTAACATAGATTTTGTTTTTTGTTATTATTTTATTCTAGAATTTTTAACTAGATGCTCCTTGAGTATTTTTAATTGTACTGGTCTCTGACTGTAGTAAACATTTGAGTTGAGGTATGAGCTGGGGGGGGAAATCTGGATGACCATCAGAGAGCAAGAAATAAATTGAAATTGAATAAATTGACTGAAATTTTAATTAGAGTAGGATGGTCAAATCTGAAGAAAAAATATGAAGGGGGCAACACCAATATTGTGCAGCAGCTGAGGTTGTTGAGCTATCACCTAAACTATAACCATAACTATAAGCCTGCGTCTCCTGCCAAGTAAATAGGGTTGACAGAAGTTTTGTGCCACACCAGTGGATAATAATTTATCTGTGTACAAGAATGGGCAAATCAACCTTAGTTTTTCTACAAATATACTCACAGTTGGAAGCCTTTCAGGAGAACTAACTCTCTAGCTAGAAGCATAGTTTCCACTGAAGTTCACAATGCCTTCCTGTCTCATATATCACAATGATGTATTTTTATCCAGCTCCTATAAATAGGATGTCTGATAAGTGTGGAATTCCATAGTAGTTAAAACTGAGAGTGTGCAAATAGCCATTTCAAACATCCTCTCAAGCTGTCTTCTTTTAATAGAACATTAACTTGCTCATATAATATTTGGAATGCCTACCTGTCTTTTTAAAAATAACTTTCTCAGTTTCTGTGATGAGCAATGTAAAAGTCAGAGATATCCTCCAAATAATTTGCCTTGAATACTGACTAATCAATCACCTAATGAGCAACTGCCATAGAATTGAGAATCAAATCCAACAAGCATTATACAGGTGCCCCTTGTTATTTTCAAAGGTTCTGTTGTAGTGTGAAAGCATGGAAATATAAAGGCCAAGTCAATGGAAACTGAAGATTAAGTCTATGGGTGCCCTTTTTCCAAGTTCCTCCCTTCTTTTTCTCCTATTGAAGTCAGAGATGTCATATATTTACTCCTTCTCTTTATTTAATCCCAGCAGATCTTACTGAATCAGTGCAGGTGGGTGGCATCAGGAGTCCTGGACAGTGGTGGGATTCAAATAATTTAACAACTGGTTCTCTGCCCTGATAACCAATTGGGTAGGCGTGGCTGAGTGGTCATGTGAGTGGGTTGGCGTGGCCAACTCGACGTCACTCACATCGCGGGGTGCTTCGTTTCACCCAGCCTCTTGTGACTGTGGGATTAGGGTTAACTGCAATGGTGTGAAAGTGTGAAAAATGGTCATAAGTCACTTTTTTCAGTGCCATTATAACTTTGAATGGTCACTAAATGAACTGTTGTAAGTCAAGGATTACATGGACAAAAATATAAAAAGCTGCTTTGCTTGCAAAAAGCTGCTCTAAATATCAATCATTAGATTAGAAATGGGGGAATACTCACTGAAGATCAATGATAGCCACAGCCATCATGGAAACCTAAACCATTCTGTCTGAATACCTTCCTTTTCATCAGCAACACCTGAAAACTGGAGAAAGTGGGTGGGCATATTTGGGCTACAAAATGCCGAGCTAAAGAGACAAATTAACAAAGTATATAGGGACCCAGGTTCACGTCTCTGCCCTCCCAAGCTTGTGGATGATAATAAAATTAGTACATGCCACAGATATCTAAATAAACTACAAGCCTGGTGCCATGTTACTAGCCTTATTATCATGAGAGAAAACTAAAATGAATTGAAGGATCCACATCCCTACCTCCTTTTTTTAAATATTACTATCAGTGAGCAATCATGTGCCTTGGCCACTCCGAAGCCATGAAAGAGACTCATGTCCAAAAGATGCTTTTTCAAAGGCAACTGGATTTTCTGGAAACCAAGAAAATCCAGTTACCTCTTGTAGAAAGTTAGCACCCTCCCCACAGAAGAATGAAATATTTTGAGAAATATTAAAAAGGCAGAAAATTATATTTCCCTAAATGAGAAATAGAGAAACATGCTCTTAAAAGGCAGGAAACAGACTCAACCTTTCTTATTAGCCCCAAAGAAATGGAAGAGGACAGGATTAAAACCCCAAGGAAACCAGCATCTAGGATTAATTACATTTGTTACCTCTTAAAGATACCAGCTGGTCTCACCTCACAAGATATCCTAAGGAAATCATCCAAATTTAAGGAAACCCAACTCATTGCTGGCCTTTGTGAAACAAACTAATTAAAATCAAATAACAAAATACACAAATCAAGCCTCTAAATTACAAAATGCTGTAGAATAAACTGTATAAAAATACATGTAGTCATCAAACCAATTGATCATCTGCCAAGGACCTCAAACCCATGTGGTCCTGTTCACCAATAAACCATATTTCCAATTAACCTCTATGTTTCCAATGTCTTTCTCCTCGCTTAGAATTGAACCAACGGATATTTCTTCCAACACTCTTGAAAAAACCACCTTTTGGACAACCATGACCTGGACAACTGAAGAATCCCCACAGACAAAAGACTCCTGTGCTCAGTGAACTGACAAAGCACCCTTTCACACCCAGGAGACGAATTCTTAGATCCATTTGTACCATTTAAAGATACCAGCTGGTCTCACCTCACAAGATATCATAAGGAAATCATCCAAATTTAAGAAAAGATCACATGCTCCCAGAAAGGCAATTAAAAAATCAGAATGCCAAGCTTGCATCCTGCCCCTTAGAAGTACATCCCAAAAGAACAGTGCCAGGAACCACTAAAGCAGTGTAAAAAGCTTAAAACAACCCTTCCCCTTTAAATAAGTCAAGCCAGAGAGGCCACTCCAGCTAGCCTGCCAAAAACCAACTGCTGTTACAATGTAACAAGGCTTAACCAGAGGCAGTTTCTGAAAACACTTAAAGATAGACAAGATTATGCTAGAAACACACCTTCCTGAAAGAATTAGCCCTGTAAAGTGGGAAAAACAAAAGGCTCTCGGAAGGAGATTTATTCCAACAACCGGTCTGCCAACCTGCTCAGAAAGTTAACAAATGGTTCTCCCAAAGTAGTGCAAACTGGCTGAATCCCACCACTGCTCCTGGGTGCTGTCTGAGCTTGGTTGTTTTCTTGCAGACATTTCATTACACAAACTATGTAAAATAATCAGTGCTAGTGCTGATGATGTTACCTAGTTTGGGTAACGAGACGTTTGCAAGAAAAACAACCAAGATCAGGGAGTACCAAGGATCCCTGATTTCAACCCTGAGCTACAAATATTTTTTCTTTATTGGTTCTATATGAGTGGTCAAATGACTCCAGAAATTGGTCAATTTCTTGGTTATGGAAGAAGTTGCCTTGTTCATACCACTTGGTTCATAATGACCTCCTTGCTCTGCGTGGTTTTTCAAAATCTCAACAAAAGGCTTCTTGATCATGCTGTGAATATCAATGATATTCACGGTCCCTAGATCCACAAAGCTCACTGTAACAATTATGAGGTACCTGGGATAGTCATCTGTCCTCTGCATCTTGCAACCACAACACTGATGTTTCCTGCTATTCTCCAAAAGCAGAGCTAGCTGCAATCACCAGTACTCTGAGGAAGGACTTCAGAGGACAAAGAACTATACAGTCATTGAGCCATAAGCATCCTGTGGATAGAAGTAGCATCCAAACCATCTCATATAAATCTCTCTCAATTTCATCTTCCAGAAGACCTGTGTTGAACTTGATATGGGGACCTCATTTATTATGTCAGAATGGGAGAAATGGTGAGACTGTGTGTGTGTGACATTTTCATTAAACTCGCTGGGGAATTTTGTTTTAAATCTGCTTTATACATCACAATTGATCTTCTAAATGTGTTTTACATCTTTTTTCAGTTTTAACTTGATTTATTTCTTTGTTATTTTAAATGAATTCTTTAACATTAAAATAGCTTTAAAAATTGAAGCTGTAAACTGAAATAGGACCAAGAAATGTTTAAGACAAAATAAGTTGAATAGGTAAAAATGTGACAGCAATAAAAACAAATTAGAACAAAACATTCAAGAGAATAAATGGTAATTTTTTTCCATATAAACTTTCCTTCCAGGGAAAAGGGATTAAAAATTGCCCTGCATTTCAGCTTGCCTGAACCTTGAACAAAGCTGTTTCTTAAGCCATACAGTATTTCATTACAAACTCATTAGTTCTATTTCTCAGCACTAATCCTTTCACCTGATGTTTTCATTTGGGGCTGCTCCACGCTTTTTTATTGCAGAACATTCACTTTTGTGATTCAGCCAGGCATCCTTCTGGCAGGTGCGATCACAGTAGTGTGCAAACTTGCACTGGCCACAACGATGGAGTTTCTCATGCCTCTTGAAGCAAGTATGGCAGACAAGGTGCATAAGGCTGAAAGGAAGAAAACAGCATTAATCATCACTTGGAAATTGCAGTTCAACTCTTAATTAAGATATGTTCCCAGGTTTTCCAATGCCCTTTCTCAAAGACCCTTTTCCCACCCCCACCCATCTGTGTATGTATAGTAGGAGAACTGTGAATTGGTTAGTCTGAAACACAATAATTGGTCCAAAGTCACCCATGGTTGAGGACAGACTTGAACCTCGGTAAACCTAATCTTAATGTGAAATCTCATCCACTTCACTGACAAGATATTTGCTTTGGGCAGAGCAAATTATCAAAGATAATTTTGTGTCCAAAGCATAAAATTAGCTCAATGAATGCAACCTTGGATTACATTGGCTTTTTAGGCAGCTGCTGACTCATACCTAGCACTAGGACACCTAGATCCTCTCACAGTTACTACTGTTGAGCCAGATACCATCTATTCCAGGGGTGTCAAACTCATGTCACGATGATGTCACATGACATATTGGGACTTTTTCCCCTTCATTAAACCGGGTGTGGACATGGCCAGCACGTGACGCATCTGGCCCATGGGCAGGGGTGGGATTCAATTTTTTTAACAACTAGTTTTGTGGGCATGGCTTAGTTGGTGGGTGCGGCTTGGTGGTCATGTGACTGGGTGGGTGTGGCCAACTTGACATCACTCATGTCAAGGGGTGCTTCTCCTCGCCTGGCCTCTCATGACAGTGGGGATGCTGCAATGGTCATAAGTTAAAAATGGTCATAAATCACTTTTTTCAGTGCCATTGTAACTTTGAATGGTCACTAAATGAACTGTTGTAAGTCAAGTATTACATGTACAAAAATACAAAAAGCTTCTTTGCTTGCAAGCTGCCCTAAACACCAATCATTAGATTAAAAATACCTGCAAGCTGGAGTTACAAATCAGGCAATGATAACTATCAGCAGCCAATTCTTGCTCATAAAGAGAAACCCTTTAGCAGAGAGGTCATTTAAGCTTTCAAGAAAAAGCACAGCCAGGAAAAGCAATCCTTAGATCTATTTGCACCACTTAAAGACACCAGCTGGTCTCACTCACTCACAAGATATCCTAAGGAAATCATCCAGATTTAAGGAAAGGTCACATGCCCCCCAGAAAGGCAGTAAAAAAAAATCAGTGCCAAGCTTGCATCCTGCCTCTTAGAAATACACCCCAAAAGGGCAGTGCCAGATACCACTAAAGCAGTGAAGGAAGACCCCCTCCCCAGATAGAAAAAGAAACAAACTGCATCTTATTGGATAAAGCCCAATGCTGTTAAGATCCTTTTGAATCTTGAATCTATCTTCCAAAGTGTTAGCAATTACCCCAGCTTGGTATCCTCAGCAAATTTGATGAGTTTCTCTTCTATCCCCATATCTAAGTCATTTATGAAGATATTGAAGAATATTGAACTCAAAATCAAACATTGAGATATCCCATTGCATCAGTGGTGGGATTCAAAAATTTTTACTACTGGTTCTGTGGGCATGGCAGGGGAAGGATACTATAAAATCTACAGTCAGAGGTGGTATTTGCTGGTTCTCCAAATTACTCAAAATTTCCACTACCAGTTCTCCAGAACTGGTCAGAACCTGCTGAATACCACCTCTGTCCCAGCTCCTTCAAAATCCTGGGAGGCAAATAATTTGGCCCAGGTGATTTGTACTCATCCAGAGTGGATAGGTATACTCTTACTAATTTCTTACCTATTTTAACTTATATAACTGTTCCGTGTTCCTCTAATAGATTGGGCTGTTTCTCCCTTAAGAAACAAATGTAAAGAGCATGGCTTCACAAGTGCCTGGCTGTGAGACCCTTTTTCTTAGATCAGATGGAATTGCTGCTGCCATACCAGCCTTCCTGCAGTGTGGCAGCTTCCCTACCCGGACTCCTGGATCTCACTGCAGGATTGGCAGTGGAGTTCCCCTGGCTTATAGTTCTGGGGACTTCAATCTGCCATTCCTGGGGTGGGGTCGGAGTAGCCCAGGATTTCATGAAAACCATGACTTCCATGGGCCAGGTTACCCAGAGCCCAACTAGGAATAACGGCCACACATCCAATTTGATGTTCTTGTCGGAGCAGCGTCTATACCAGCGTGACCTGGAATTGTGGACCTGCCTTTGGTCTCTCTGTCATGGTCAAATCACGATCTTGTGGCAGAAAGTTTCTTAAGAGCTTTACTCCCCACAAGGAAGCAAGACTTATTAGATTGGTCTGCCCAGTGGTGGTATTCAATTTTTCCCCTACTGGTTCTGTGGGCATGGCTTGGTGGGGGAGGATCATTTGACTGAGTGGGCATGTCCAACTTGACATCACTGACACCCACATCCACTCAGTCACATGACACACACCCCCCCGCCAAGCCATATCCACAGAACCCAGTAGAAAAGAAATTTGAATTTCTACCTATCTACCTATTTTCTGCCCAGGCAGACCTGGCCTAATCCTACATGCTGCCCACTCTCTCTTCACCAGTCACCCCGTTTCCCCTCTTTCAGAGGCCCTATCCCTTAATCTCCCCGTTTCCTCCCCCATGACCACCTCTTTCATTGTCCCACAGCCATGATCTTACCTTCCTCCTGTGGCTGGCTGCCAGGGAAGGCAAGTCAGGGCTGAGCATTGTTGTCGCTGGGCTCCCCACCAGCCCACATCTTGCCCTTGTTATGAGATGCTGGCAGCCGCCACATTTTTTCCAGTGCAGCCACTTTCTAGCCACACCCCAAAAAAAAGACACAGCGGCTGTAGGCTTCTTGCAGCAAAAATTACTGACTTCTGGCCTTGTTCTGCTTCTCCAATGCACCACCGCCATGTTCTATGTGCCAGTCACCCAGGCTCATCCCATTGCCTGCTGCACCGCTCCGCTCAGACTTGCTTGGGCAAATCCCTCCAGTGTAGCAGGCTCAATGGGGTGAACCTGCACAGTTTTTGCTACCTCTTTGTCAGCCGGAACCGAGCTGGGAGTGGCGGCTGGAGGATTCTCCTGCCAGCAAAGAAGTGGTGGCTGTAGGCTTCTCGTGCCACTTTTTGCAAGCGTGAAAGGCCTGCAGCAGCTGCTTCTTTGCCACCCAAAACCGAGCTGGGAGTGGCGGCTGGAGGATTCTCCTGCTGGCAAAGAAGTGGTGGCTGTAGGCTTCTTGGTGGGGAGGGGGAACATGGCGAGATTTGTCTGGGAATCGGAAGGCAGCTCCTGCACCCTGCCTTTTTGGTCCTCTTCTCCACATCGAAATATTTTAAAGGGACAGGCTGGGATGGCTGCCTTCCAAGCAGCAGCAGAGCAAAGGGAAGGGAGGCAGAAAAGTTCACCCAAGTCTTCTCCTCCTTCTTGGGCATACACAGAGTGTGTGCATCTCACAGTGCCAGAGGGACTCACCCACGTGCCAACTCCTTGCAGAAAATCCTAGTCTCACATGTGCACATGTGAGGTCCCAGGACCTTCTGCTAGGAGATGGTGCGTGAGCTACCGGCTCAGTTCTGGCTGGCAAAGAAGCAGCAGCTGGGACTCACCGCCCTGTTCTTCATGCCAGGGTGCACCCCATTGCCTGCTGCGCTGGAGTGGAGGTACTTGCCCAGACAAGTCCCTCCGGTGCAGCAGGCAATGAGGTGCGTGTGCATGGCCGGCGTGAAGAACAGGGCGGTGATGGCGGCAGGAATAAAGCTCTTTTTTAGTGCGTTTGAAAAGCAGAGGCCAGTAGTTTTCAGCGCAAGAAGCCTGCAGCCAGCTGGCTCGATTCAGGCTGGCAAAAAGGCATCAGCTGGGAGGCTTCTCGCACCAAAAAAAAAGGCAGCGGCTGCAGGCATCTCACGACAAGGGGGACGAGGTACGGGCTGGCAGGAAGCTGTTAGGGCCTGGGTGGGGAGCAATAGATTGAAACTGAACCCTGGCAAAACTGAGTGGCTCTGGGTTAGAGTTCTTTGGCTCATGGAGAATTGCCACCTTTGATCTTGGATGGGGTGACAAACAGACCCTGTGCGTGTAATCTGGGGGTTCTACTGGACTTGTGACTCCTGCTTGAAGAGCAGGTGCAGACGTGGCCAGGAGGACCTTTGCACAAGTGCAGGTTGTGTGCCAGGTATGTCCTTTCCTGTTTTGTTTGTGTATTGTTTTTGAAAATTAATAAAATTTGTTTATAAAAAAATAATAATTGTCAGCTAGGCACATCAGGAACCTTTTTGATCTCCCACTTCCTGAAAAATTTGTTTCCCAGTTGATGACAAGATAGTTAAAGTCCTCGTTACTACAGTGGTATGTTTCTTGCACACCTCAGCTAACAGATCAGCAAAGAGCTCATCTACTCCAAAAGAAGAACTTTTTAAAACCATGATTTCCATCCTCTGGAACTTTCTGCTTCTGGAGGTGAGATCAGCACTTAAATGTTTGGCTTTCCAAAAGGGCTTTAAAATCTGGCTCTGCCAATTGGTCAGGATTCCAATGGGGATATATCATACTGGAGGTGGTTAATAGATTGACACAAGACTCCACCTCTACTCCACGTGTCTCTTTCTTGCATTCTTTGTTAATTTTAGGTAAATATTTGATATTTAATAGTTAATGTTTTATCTTGCTTTATTTGGTTGTAAGCCACCTGGAGTTGCCTCTTGATGAGGTGGGCAGTATACAAATTTATGTATACAGTACTGCCCATTAACTATGGTCTTATTTTGTGATGAACTAATACTCAGCTCACTTTCTGAAAGTCTACTGTCGCAGCCTTAGATTCAGAATCAAATCAAAAATAATCTCAAGAATTGATTTTCATAAGCACAATGCAGGATTGTTAATAGTGGGATTCCCACAGCATTCCTACAGCAGATATAGTGGTCTCACTCATCAATCTTCCATCTCTTCTTGAACTTGATTATCTCTCTTAACAGCTCTCTGTAGGAATCCAGCACATTTAATGAAATAAAGAACAAATACAGGAGATTAAAAGAAACTTTCTTCATGCTTTTCTTCCTATGTTAAGGTTATTGAGTTAAGACATGCACTATGGCATGCACCATGCA